CATGCCCTTTATCCTCCTGATACCAGCCCTATGCTGCCCTGTAGATGGCCGTGTACAAATCTCTGGATTTTGTAAATAAAGCGCAACCAGTACCTACTCCAATGACAGCTCTCTGGAATGGTGTTTCATACTTTATTTAATGGCAGCCCATTTTGCAAGGATTTGGGACTTGGTCCAAATCCTTATTTACTATCATTTGAATCAGGTCTACACCTGGGAATGAGGCTCAGTATCATCAACAAAGACCCAGGACTAGAGGCCAGCATACAGGCAGATAACAAAAGCCGACTCTGTTCTGGGGGAGCTCATAATCTGGATGCCAAATGAGTTGAAATTGACTTAAAAAGTTTGAGTGATGAAGGGAATCGAAGAATCATGAATAAAGGAACAAATCCATCAAAGCGGTAGTTTTCAGCACACAGCATTTCTTACATGCAGACAAGTCACAGTACAATATAGAGAATGATTCATTCAAATATTACATTAAAATGTTTATCGAGGCAGTTAACCTACATATAATATTAAAGCCCAATACTGAAGTGTGAATTACTTGGTTAATTCAGTGTAGATGTCAAAACGCAAATGGCTATTACTAAATTTGGGGCGTGAGCTATTCTGTAGGGCCTGTTGTCTTTGCCGGCGCTTGAAATGCCTTGTTAAAAGGAAGCCCACCAGGGATGGTGGTTCTCCCCCATGTTTCCAAACTTCTGGCTGTTCCTAGCGCCTGCATTCACACTCTGGCTCGCTGTTAGCGCATGCTGTGGCGTCATAGACTCTTAAAAGTGGTTTAAGTGGGAAGGGATGTTCAAAGATCATCTAGTCTAACCCCCCTGCCGTGGGCAGGGACATCTTTTTGCTAGATCAGGTTGCTCAACGCCCCGTCCAACCAGACCTTGAACACTTCCAGTGTGATGGGGCAGCCTCAGCTTCTCTGGGCAGCCTGATACAGTATCTCACCACCCTCATCATAAAAAGCTTCTTCCTTATGTCCAATCTAAACCTACCCTCTTTCAGTTTAAAGCTGTTGGCCCTTGTCCTGTCATGACAGGCCTTGTAAAAAGTCTCTGTCTGCCTTTCTTATAAGCCCCCTTATATATTGAAAGGTCGCAATAAGGTCTCCCCGCAGCCTTCTCTTCTCCAGGCTGAACAACCCCAACTCCCCCCGCCTTCCTCACAGGGGAGGCGTCCCAGCCCTCCCACCATTTTCGTGGCCCTCCTCTGGAGCCACTCCAACAGGCCCGTCTGTCTTGTGCTGGGGTCCCCCGAGCTGGATGCAGCACCCCCGCTGGGGTCTCCCCAGAGCGGAGCAGAGGAGAATCACCTCCCTCCTGTAACCATGAGGAAAATACGGTGTGAAACGCAGCCACGGCTGCAAATTCCCACTGAGGCGCCATTTTGCAGGCGCTTTCTCCCCCCCACCCCTTGGCCTTGCGGCTCCTCTGGGGAACTCTCCGCTGCCCCAAGGCTGCGTGCCCCTCGCCCCGAGTGGGCGCAGGGGGCGGCCGGGCGCCGGGCGCCGGGGCGGGCTGTGGTTG